TATGAAACAGACTGTGGCCCAGAAAACCTTATGCCATGTTATGTACTGAGTTGAATAGGATCCAAAATGCAGCAGTCTGATTGGTCCTAGAACAATGCAGTAGTATGATTGGTCCGCAGGAGCCACCCAATCCAGCTCCAGGTGGAAGTGAATCCACAACCTGATTGGCCTACAGGAGAATCCCAGAATTAGCCAATCATGTGCAGCCCATTGTGTAAATAATGTATATAAAGCAGATATTTTGGGGGAACTTTCATTCCGCCTCACCACTACGAGCTGAATGTTGTTGTTTAGTCGTTCAGTCGTGTCCGACTCTTCGTGACCCCATGGACCAGAGCACGCCAGGCACTCCTGTCTTCCACTGCCTCCCGCAGTATGGTCAGACTCATGCTGGTAGCTTCGAGAACACTGTCCAACCATCTCGTCCTCTGTCGTCCCCTTCTCCTTGTGCCCTCCATCTTTCCCAACATCAGGGTCTTTTCCAGGGAGTCTTCTCTTCTCATGAGGTGGCCAAAGTGCTGGAGCCTCAGCTTCACGATCTGTCCTTCCAGTGAGCACTCAGGGCTGATTTCCTTCAGAATGGAGAGGTTTGATCTTTTTGCGGTCCATGGGACTCTCAAGAGTCTTCTCCAGCACCATAATTCAAAAGCATCAATTCTTCGGCGATCAGCCTTCTTTATGGTCCAGCTCTCACTTCCATACATCACTACTGGGAAAACCATAGCTTTAACTATACGGACCTTTCTTGGCAAGGTGATGTCTCTGCTTTTTAAGATGCTGTCTAGGTTTATCCACTCTCGACTCCGAGTATATTTCATGCCATAATGTGTGTGTGTGTGTGTGTGTGTGTGTGTGTGTGTGTGTGTGTTTGTGTGCCTTCAAGGTGCCTGAAGACTGTTGCTTTCACTCATCATTAGCTTCCTAGGCACCATCCATCTTCCTCTGTTGATAGAACAAGGCAGCTTCCCATCTTTCCCTCTCATGCAGCCTGATTTGTCAGGATGGCCATCAAAACCCCTGCTTAACTGTATTTTAAGACCATGGGATTTGTATCAGCACTGTGTTATGCAAAGAGTAGTCATGTTTCTCCAAACTTAAAGCCACTCCTCACAGCCGTAACGATGATAAAAGGCCCCAAGGTGCTCAGAAGAAGATGAAAACCATGAATCTTATGGCAGGCTGCCACCTGCTGCAACTTGCTAGGACAGCTGCCTCACTGCTATCTGTCATGTTTGCCAAGCTGCAGCTGGGTTGACTTTGCAACATTCTGTAAAAATAACAAAGTTTAGTATGCTCTTGCAGGAGCAAAGGACTGTGTGAACATCATTGGTAACCTGGAAAAGAGAGTGGCTGGGCAGGTTTCTCACTTTTCGGGTTCTGAATGGGAAGATGAGAGTCTCTGTATGCTTGTGAAAATCTTCCTGTTTGGTGCATTGGTGGGGTAAGATACTGTTTCCAGCTAATGTGGAATCTCAGCTTCAGGGCAAGTGTTTTGAAGATGTCCTTTCCCAGGAGTATATATCTGTGGGTAGATGAGGGCTTGTTTGGCTCTCCCATCCCTGTAGATGCAGCCGGAGTGTTGTGGCATCCTTGGAGGTCTTACTTTCATTCAGGATTTCCTCTGACTATCATTCCAAACTTTGGGACTAGGTCTGCAAAAGGTTATTTTATCTAATTCTGCAGCCACAGGAAAGGGCATCACCTGCACCCTTACAGCACGTCTCCCTGACTCCAAAACGCTTCTCAAGTGTCTTTAATGTCAGCCTTCGGATGGATTCCTAAATGCTACAATAATAGGAAATATGAGTCTAGCTATCGAAGGCACCATTATTCTCTCAAAAATGTTTTGATAGCAAGCTTATCTGCGTGGGTGTACATACATCAAGCTATTTTTCTCCTGGCTGAGCTTATTCAGAAGCATATTTTAGTGGCATCTGATTTCCACGGAACAATGATGACTACCAAGGTGTCCATGAAGAAAACATGAGTCTGATAAACAACAGCGATAAGGAAAGTGCTAAAGAAAAGGTCTTTTGATGGGGAACCTTTTCCTTTGGAAACATCTCATGCCTCTGACCAACTGAATGCCTGTTCTTGCACTCAAACGGAATGCAGCCGCAAATTGAGGGATTTAGGGGCCTTGTTCCCTTTCAATTACGTTCCCTTGATTTGCTAAATCTTGGGTGATTATCCAATCATACCTGAAATGAGGAAATGATGGGAGTTGAGTTTCCCTCTCTTGTCCTAAGAGATTATAAGCATTAGAACTGTCAGGGGCGGGGGAGTACGTGTGTGCATGTATATATCTTGCTATAAATGGTGCCTTGTTTTCTGCTGTACCTAAGTAAGAATAACATTGCTGCTGGGAACTGCTCAGATTCCAGATGCAAAGTTTGTCATATTAAAAGGACGATCTGAATACCTCGCATGAAAACAATGTATTGTATATTTCAAAGCAAGTAGATCACGTGTGCAGAATACTGGAGAGCCACTCCATTAAATACAGTGAGCGAAACATTTAGGTTCATACCATTATTATATCTTTAAATTCAGTGCAAGTACTTTGGAAACACTGCCACAGATTTCAGGATTGATGGCTGGGTTAATATATCACTTAATAGGGTATTATGGAACATATTTCCATGGCCACAAATTGGGCAAGATTTTGGTCACAGGCCATATCTGCAGGACGGATTATTTTTCATCTAAGAACACAGAATATTTGACTTCATATTCATGAATCAAAGACAGTATTACAACTGTAAAATCACAACAAACAAGCTTGAGCATGGACAGAATTCAGTTAACCAGTGCACTCTTTAGTTTCCAGGTCTAACTAAATGCTGCAAGTGTAATAAAAGTGGATTAGGGAGGGGGAGATTTGGGGCAGAGAAGTTATGGGGTAGAGGGGTTATTTCCCCCTGCATTTCTGATTCCAAGCAATTTTTCCTACCCTCAGCATCACAAACATGTCATTTATTTTGCAAACAATGTGATAGGGTGGATCGTTGGACATTTATTACCACTATTCACATTTCCATGTAACATTTTCAGTTGAACAATACTGTGTGTGATTCCTTTCTGTTCCATTGGGGCAATTCTCACTTCACTTTTGGTAATCAAGCACTATGTGTACACTCAGGTTCAAAATACACACGAGCCACAAAAAAGGCAGTATATGCACATGTAAGGTAAAGGTAAAGGGACCCCTGACCATTAGGTCCAGTCGTGGCCGACTCTGGGGTTGCAGCGCTCATCTCACTTTATTGGGCAAGGGAGCCGGCGTACAGCTTCCGGGTCATGTGGCCAGCATGACTAAGCCACTTCTGGTGAACCAGAGCAGCGCACGGAAACGCTGTTTACCTTCCCGCCGGAGCGGTACCTATTTATCTACTTGCACTTTGACGTGCTTTCGAACTGCTAGGTTGGCAAGAGCAGGGACTGAGCAATGGGAGCTCACCCCGTCACAGGTATTCGAACCGCCAACCTTCTGATCGGCAAGTCCTAGGCTCTGTGGTTTAACCCACAGCGCCACCCGCGTCCCTATATGCACATGTACTTTTCTCCATTTGTCCTTAAAATACATGCATCTACGGAACCACATCCTTCTTTTTCGCAGCCTGCATGTGACTTGAGAAACAAATCTATTTTGTGTGTGTATTCCCAATCAGCATTTCAAAGCATTCCATTCAGGTTCCTAAAAAATGCAAAAACTCAAACCACACTTTGCTTCATTCTTTATTATCCCATCTTTCCCCCATATTCTGAATCCAATTTCACATAGTTGGGATGCCAATAAAGGAAAGAGATCAGCTTTGTACAGTTTAATAATAATAATAATAGATATATTGCTGGCAAGTTGCGTTGTAAAGGAACCTTTTTAAAGACAAATATAAACATAGGATAAATAATGTAGCCTTGAAATATTTCTTGGGAAGGTTAATTGTTTTTGAACAATGTTTTGTGGCAATTAGTGCCACTTTCACTACTTATTCTAAGAATCTGGATGGAGAAAATGTAGATACCTTTGACCTTAGAAATATACATGGATAATAGCAGTAATAGCTGTTAAGCAATTCAGAGTGGAGTTCATGGTTACAGCATGAGAAACATCTGGGTCCTGGAGGTGGGAGATGCATGAGGGATAAACGAGAAAAGATACAAGAACTCATCGTACATATTTCTGGTTTTGCTTCTTAGCAAAATAGGGACAAGGATGTGAGAGCAGCTATCAAGACAGGACAACAGCTTGGGATGGAAATGGCCACAACTTTATTGATAACAGATGTCTGAAGGCTTTGGTATAGGCACTGGGGATGCATGCGGAATCAACCAACCCAATTTCTGGTGGATTTCTTCACCAGAACCCCCTAGGATGCAGATCAAATAGGGGGAACTCCCTAGGATGCTGTTTGGGGGAGTTCTGTGGTCCATTAGCCACCATCTTGGCCTTCAGACAAAACTTTCCCCCTAAACCCCTTTACCGGGATACTCTGACAATTTGTTCTTTTTTTTTTTTTATAAAATTTTTATTGGTTTTACAAAATTTTTAAGAAAAACAAACAAACACTAAAAATGACAAACATACACATATAGTTTCAGACATATTTTCATAAACCTCTTTTCTTGGACTTCCCCATACCCCCCCTCTCTGCATCCCAATGTCCATAATTCAACTAGCAACTCCCAATTGTTACTTTCCAATCTCACTCTGACAATTTGTTCTAGTTGGATAGACTGCGAAGTCATTCTGTCTTATGCTGTCCATAAGCGTCAATGTGCCGTTTTCACCATTCTTAGCAAATGCATTTGTTATGCTCCAAATGTTGGGATTACATGCTCGCTCCTGGTCTTTAAAACATGGCGGGGGGGATGTAATGCAATCTTCTGACCTCATTTTGTTTTCACTGAAACATAATTATATTATTATGTTTCGTTATATGGTGTTTGTTGTTTCTCTGAAACACATGGTTTTTCTCTTTTCTGTGCTTGTATTTCAGTTGCGTTCAAGTATAGAGCTTGACCAGGACATTCTCAATGACTGTCTCACGATCCAGCCTCTCCAACCTCCTGCATCTCCCCAGGGCACTTCAGAAAGTACCGTCAGACAATCTCCAGGACCTGTGCATGACATTTACACAGGTATGGTATGGGGGGGGGTAGTGAAAGAAACGTTATGTACAGGGTAGGATTCCAGGAAATAATTTTGTTGCCCATAAAAGCAAAGGAACGGACAATGAAGATTAATTGACAATAAAGGAAAACAATTTTAATCTGGAGTCAGTATGAAAGTTTCATGAAGGATACAAGTATGATCTCGAAAAAGGAAAGAACCGTAAAGCCCAATTAAATTTACAGGGAGAAAATTAAGAGCAATTTCTGCAAGAAACCAAAGGGAGTTTACGGTATCATCTTGGAAAACATCTTAATTCAGTTTAATCCGGGCCTCCAACCCAAAAATGAAGCTTCAGGCGCCCCTTTCACTCTTATGGGGAAACATTTTTAAGGCTGTAAGTTTTTCTCTTTTTGAGAGACATGGATGGAACTACAGCTATAGAAGCCCCTCCTGAGTGGATATATGCTTGACATAGATGCCTTTAAACTTGCTTGGAGGAGGAAATAAAAGGGATTCCCTTCCCTTCTGTGGTTTTAGGAACAGTGATTTTATTAGGAATATGGCAGGCATCGAAGGAGTGTCCCTAGAAAAGGAATGTACAGACTTCCAAAAGGATGGGAGATGTAACAAATGAGAGAAGGTAAATGAAAAAAACTAGACTGAGACTTGAGTTCTTCTCAGGATAATTGTGATGGCCTGGGATTCAGATTCAGATGCTGAACCTGAGGAATCCCAGCCTGCACAGGATTCCCCGCCTCCAGAACCAGCTGAGCCGGGGCTGGGGCATGAGCCAGAAGGGTCCTCACCTGTGCTGGATCCTCAGGTGCAGGCACCAGCTGAGTCTGCTCTGGCCCCGGGGGTGATGGAGGACCCATTGCCAGCAGGTGCTCCACTCTCAGTCCCGTCAGGGGAGGCTGAGGTTGCAGAGGCTCAGGGCAGAGAGGCGGAGGGAACTAAGTTCCCACAGGAGGAGTGCTCGCCTCCAGGCCAGGAGAGGCGAGTCACCTGAGGTTCAGGGCCACCCTATGCCTTGGGGCAGATAAAAGCCCGCCAGCCCCAGTCCCAAGTTGCGGGAGCAACATTGGTGGTTATCAGTCCCTGCCTGAACCCTGCCCTGCACCCAGCTTTGACTTTTACGGACTGCCTTCATATTGCTTCATCGTCCACGGACTGGACTTGGACCTTGCCTCTTGATTAACCTCCGGGACCAGCACAATAATCATAGAAAGCTGCCATATATTGAGCCAGACCACTAATCTATCTGGCTCATTATGATCTGCACTAATTTGGCGAGTAGAGTTTCTGACAGGGTTTTCCCACCCTCACCCTACATGGAAACACCAGTGAGTGAATCTGGGACTTCTAATAGGCTGGGCATGTGCTTGATCCCTGATCCATGGTCCTTCTTCCAAAGGAGGATGGCAATACTCTGCCTTTACTTTATATTTAATGCCTATGGAGGAGGTCATTTGGGTCACTGCAGATTACTATACAGGGTTGAGAAAAACTGCACTTGTTTAAATTACCCCTTATATGCAATTATTAAAAGTAAGCACACTCTGTCCGTCATTGCAACCGGTCACAGATTTAGCGACGGTAAAGAGAAATTCGTGTGGGACGCGGGTGGCGCTGTGGGTAAAACCTCAGTGCCTAGGACTTGCCGATTGTATGGTCGGCGGTTCGAATCCCCGCAACGGGGTGAGCTCCTGTCGTTCGGTCCCAGCTCCTGCCCACCTAGCAGTTCGAAAGCACCCCTAAGTGCAAGTAGATAAATAGGGACCGCTTTATAGCGGGAAGGTAAACAGCATTTCCGTGTGCTGCGCTGGTGCTGGCTCGCCAGAGCAGCTTCGTCACGCTGGCCACGTGACCCGGAGTGTCTTCGGACGGCGCCAGCTCACGGCCTCTAGAGCGAGATGAGCACACAACCCCAGAGTCGGACACGACTGGCCCGTACGGGCAGGGGTACCTTTAGCTTTAAAGAGCAATTCAGTATCAAATGATGGGTTAACTGATACATACACAATTTGTTTTCTTTCCCTCCTGCTGGTGCCAGACTAAACTTGCTAAAATCAAATGAGGGATATGCAATGCACCCAGGACAACTTGATGATAGTGAGGAAGCTGACGCGTGAAAAATGTTATTATACAACGACTGAAGATTCATTGGACCCCTCTCTGCTTCAGTCAGCCAGCTTTTTATAATCCCCATGAATAGCCTCTGCTGTGACCCTCACAATCATTTTGCAAACTAACTACAAGAGGGGGGAAAGCACCAATAAAATCCCTACATGCTGCTAGCATGCATAGCAATAATGGGGCGCCTGCTGTGAAACAATATAGAACATGTCAGAGATGCCGGAGGAAAGGGTGAAGTTCGCGATGGAGCTCCGCCCTGGTCCCAAGAGGTCACAGCTGTTTCTTTGGCTGGCTGATATCCTTTAGGTTTGCCTTCAGATATTTCTAGTGATTGGCAGCTGGAACAATTGATTAACTGAGGCAGATGAACATATTGGAAACTCTTATTGCTTTTGTGATTAAGAGCGAGCAGAATCCCCAAAGCAATAAATTGTGGGATCTGGATTAAAATCTGTCTTGCTAAAACTGAAGGTCATTACATTAGATTGCTGCCATTCAAAAAGATTGCTGGCTCTTATCTGGTTCAGAAGATTGTCGTTTGCCTTCTGAGTTCTCGTCTTATGTAAAAAGGAAATATTTATAGTCATTTATGCCAATGCAATTTAAAACTCATAGCCCACAAGATCCTAAACAGTTCTACAGATCTGAATAGAACAGCTGTTTTAGTTGCACAGCTGTATTCCTGGGTGAATCTGGAAATGGAACTTTGGATATTTTTGTCCTGCTAGTGAACTATATAAGAACAAATACTACTTTTATATATTATTAATCCTAACTGCTGCATTACTTGGCCAGGTAAACAACAATGACTTCTTTTTCTGGGGGGAGGGGGTTTAAACTAAAAGGATATTCAAATTATATTTGCATGTTATAATTAAATATTTGAGTTCCTTAGTCAACTTCATCCACAATAAATAGATTAATCAAGCAACAGCATAAATATATTTATCCTCAGATTTTTATACTTTTATTTATTTATTTTAATCACTTCATATACCACCCTTTATTGGCAGATCCCAGAGTGGTGTACAACATTAAAAACATAATTTGCATAGCATAATAATAAAACAATCCCAGCCTCACCCCACTCTGGCAGACACCATGTTACCCTCTGGGAAGCAGCAGCTGCTGCTCAGCCGCCCTCCTCCACTGTTTAATAATAATAATAATAATAATAATAATAATAATAATAATAATAATAATATTTTATTTATGCCCCGCCCTCCCCAGCCAAGACCGGGCTCAGGGCAGCTAACAACCAAAAATAAAAACAAGTTGATGAAAATACAATTTAAAAGATTAAGATGCAACATTAAAACATTAGGGTGCAATCTCTTCATAGGAGGAGAAAGGAAAAAGAAAGAGGGGGAGGGAATCAAACTGATTCCAAGCCAAAGGCCAGGTGGAACAACTGTGTCTTACAGGCCCTGCGGAAAGAAATCAGATCCTGCAGGGCCCTGGTCTCATGAGACAGAGCGTTCCACCAGGCCGGAGCCAGTGTTGAAAAGGCCCTGGCTCTGGTTGAAGCTAATCTGACTTCCTTAGGGCCCGGGACCTCTAGGGTGTTGCTATTTATGGATCTTAAGGTCCTCCTTGGGGCATACCGGGAGAGGCGGTCCCGTAGGTACGAGGGTCCTAGGCCGTGAAGGGCTTTAAAGGTCAAAACCAGCACCTTAAATCTGACTCTGTACTCCACCGGGAGCCAATGCAGCTGGAAAAGCACTGGGTGAATGTGATCCTATGGCAGAGACCCTGTGAGGAGCCTCGCTGCAGCATTCTGCACCCGCTGGAGTTTCTGGGACAGCTTCAAGGGCAGCCCCATGTAGAGCGAATTAGAGTAGTCAAGCCTGGAGGTGACCATCACATGGATCACTGTGGCCAGATCAGGGTGGGAAAGGTAAGGGACCAACTGCTTGATGCGATGAAGGTGGAAAAATATCTCCTTTACTGTTGTTGTAACCTGCGCCTCCATGAAAAGGGAGGCGTCAAGGATTACACCCAAACTCTTAACGGAAGGCAGTGGCACTAATTGGGCCCCCGCAAAAGAAGGGAGTTGGTCCCTCATTCCCATACCATCCCGACCCAGCTACAGGACCTCTGTCTCTGAAGGGTTAGAAGAATTATTGAAGAATAGAAACACTTGTTCTTGGAAGGAAAAGTCCATTTTAATAGATTGTCATTATGGCCCCCATAGCATCTTCCCTTCCAGGGCAAATGGCATCTGGTGGGGTGATTTTCACTGGTACTTCAGAATGGAAGGAAAGGGTCAACCTTCTTCACCCTCGCCATCGGAGGAGCTCTGTTCGTCTATTACTTAAAAAACTACACACACACACAATTGTGCAGGTAATGCAGTATAATGTCATCATGCACAGTACAGCTCTGAGTTGATTTCTCTATCAATTTAACAACAAAACATTGAAAACCCCCAAACTGACCTCTTATTTTGACACTGATTTGTTTAAGTCCACTTGCAGCCCTGAGACACAACTGGAAGGCTCCCAGATTGAGCAGGATTTTTCGGCCTATGAAATCCCCATTTTATGGCTGCTTAGACATTTAAGTGGGGAAACGGCAACACTTTTGCACTTTGATTATTCTAAAAGGAGGTAGATGAGGTCTTTTTTTATGTGAAAAAGATTGACAGAGAACCATAATTTAAGAATAATATACCCATGGAAATGAATTACGACATTATTGGTAGTTTGCAGGAGGAAAGGTGGCAATTCTCCATTTCAGAAAGGTTCTTTAAATTACAGAGTACTTTCTCTGCTAAGATGGGAAGAAACTTTTTTTTTAAAAAAAGAAGCTTTGATTTGGAAGCAGTTTGAGAATGCAAACTCTCATTTCTTAATTGTGTGCAAGGTGACGCCGTCCATCACCTCTACAT